TTATAAAACGATCTCTCGAGTTTTATAAAACGATCTCTCGAGTTTTATAAAACGATCTCTCGAGTTTTATAAAACGATCTTCGAGTTCTTATAAAACGATCTCTCGAGTTTTATAAAACGATCTCTCGAGTTTTATAAAACGATCTTCGAGTTCTTATAAAACGATCTTCTAGTTTTATAAAATGATTCTCGAGATTCATAAAACTGTTGCGTTTACGCGTTTGCGGGGAATTTTGGCTATTGATTCCGTCGTACCGATTTTGACCCCAACAGTTTAGATAAGTATCATATATATAAACTGTTCTGACTGGTTAAGAAGCTATGAGAAGCAACCTCATGTGTTCGATCTGAAACTGGGTGTCTAACAAAAAAAAATCTCTTCTCATGGTCAATATTGTTTCCGGTTTTTATCATTACAAAAAAGACACAAACATTTGTGGTTGTTTTATGGCTTTGAAAGTTTGAAAATCACATACCCTATCGAACTCCTCGCTCTAACATCATGTGCTTCAAAATTATCAATCTATCACAGTTGAATTTTTGTATAATCCTAATCTATCAAAATGCGTGGCCTAGTTTTCTAAGTAAACTGCCTTCCACTATACTAATAATTGTTGTAGATTTAAAAAAAGTGCCGTTGTCTGAGATCGAATCCGGGTCACCCACATGACAAGCGAGAATAATTACTACTATATTACAATGACTATGTTGTTTTGGTGTCTTGCATTTACATATTTGTATATTACAAATACTATTATTTAACAATAGATTCTTTGTCCTCACAATATTCAAACCATTTTTAAAATAGGTTATTTGCTAAGTCTGGTTAATTTTTAGGGTTATTTGTCAGATAACCAACAAAAAAGAGAAATTTGTGTGTTGTAGAGAGAAATAGAGAAAGATAGAAAGATAGAAAGAGAAAAGGGGAGAGTGTGTGTGATTTTTGTTAAATCATGAATTTTGGATAAAACTTGGGTTTACCCCTAAAGTGAATTGTAGAATTCACCCCACTCCTTTACACCAATCAAACTGCCACATAAGATTAATTAAAAAAGATTATAGTTAAATAAAAAAAAGGAATATAGTTTGAAAAAAGGAATTAACGTTTTGATACGCCATCATTTACAATTTGATTTAATTTCTTTTTCTTTATATGTCGGCTTCATCTTCTCATCCCAAAGACTCCCAAATAATTCTTCACATAACTTACAGATTAGAGCTACGTCATCACTCAATTAACATAATTAACCTCAATTTTTTGATATATATATATATATCTCTTGATCATATAGTTATAAGCTTAAATTTGAGTCAATTAGGTTACATATGATTTTGTTGCTTTGTTTGATTTTCTTTATAGGTCTTCTGGTTATCACGTTTATGTATGAACAAAGCAATAAGAATATTGAGTTAATTAGGTTATGCTATAATTTTGTTGCTTTATTTTGATAGTGACAAAAAGAATCCATGACTAATGATTATTGTCACACCAAGTCATAACTGTTCTGACAATAACTAATAACTATGGAAAGAAAAGAATTTTAATTAAGTCATACACGTTTTTATATGATCGTATTAGGTGTGTTTTAGAGTGTGAATGGTGAGGCAGATCATCGACAGATGTCCTGCACACTGGTACTTTGTGAGCTGCATTTACCAATCATAATTTTTATGTGTTTAGGAAGAAAATGCAGGAGATCTGCCTAAAGGTAAATTTTTTTTGTCCTTTTCTGGGTAAAAACAGGTGTCATGCATGTGCTTCTACCACCTCTACTTTTGATGCAGTTCAACGATACCACCAACTTTTCATCCAATAGAATTTTTTAATAGAATAAATTAATTCTCTAAATATTAATTGACCTCTCTATAAAGAAAGCCCGTTGCAATTTTATTATAGTGGGGTTCCATTGAATGCATCAGAGTTATTATTGGGAGATTCTATTGCTTAGCTTGCTATGGAGGATATCTTAAATTATTTTCATCAAATTTCACATGTCTCTACACCATATCTTCATTTATGTCATTAGTTAATTTTTGAAATTTTAATGATTTTTTTTTATCATGTAGAAGAAGAGGACAGAACTAGACAAATAACTAAGTATTTTTTTAATGAGAAGAAACAATTCCAGACAAAATAATGTCAAGTCGTGATGTATGAGTCCTTTTTTTACTCCTAATTGTTCTAAGTCATTTAGAATAATTTTTAACTACAGTTTATCTTTTTTTTATATAGTTGCAATGGAGAGTACTCATTTAAGTGGTCAAGAAACTATTCCCGCTAGTCAAGATGAATCTAGTTTACAAGTCTCAGGTGAAACCAATTTGTTAAGTCAAAATTCAGATGAGTTTTTAGCCAAGAAAAAAGATGCTACAATCAGTGATGACGATGCTTCAATCAATGATTTTGATGAAAAAGAGGACATAAGCAACAATGAGGATTATCTTCAGATTGTAAATGCTGATGCTTTAGAGGTAACAAAGAAAATCAGAAAAATCATGAGCTCTGTATTGGAATGGATTTCAGTTCTGATGAGTCTGCACATAAAGCTTATAGAAAGTATGGAGGCAATCATGGTTTCAATGTAAGGAGACAGCGCACTGCAAAAGGAAATAATAAGCTAGTAAGGATGGTTTATGTATGCTCAAAGAGGGGCTTAGACAAGAACCTACGGTTAGGAAATCATATTCGCGACCAACCAAGAGGTGTGGTTGTAAAGCTCGCATGTCTTGCTATCTCCAGAGTAACGGAAGATATAAGATTATGACTTTTGAGTCGAATCATAACCATGATTTAGGAGGTCACCTATGAAGCATTTTTTGAAGAGTAACCGAGCAATCTCTATCTCTCAAAAACAACACGCTGATGATGCTGATATGTCAGGAATTTCAGCAAAAGCGACCGTTAAAATGATGAGCAAAGAAGTTGGGGGCGAGCAAAAAATTTGGGTTCTATGGATAAAGACCTGAAAAACTACATATACCGTAAGCGAATCGTAGCAATGGAAAAAGGAGATGCTGGAGCTGTTTTGGAGTACTTTCAGAAAAAGAAAGATGATAATGCATCTTTCTTTTACTCAATGCAACTTGATGAGGACGATATGATCTCTAATATCTTCTGGGCAGATGATCGGTCAATTAGTGATTATAATCTTTTTGGAGATGTCGTTTGCTATAATACAACATACAAGACCAACGAATATGATAGACCGTTTGCTCCATTTGTTGGCGTCAATCATCATAAGCAAACTATCGTGTTTGGTGCTTTTTTCTTATATGATGAAACTACAAAGTCTTTTCAGTGGCTTTTTTCAGACTTTTCTTGGAGAAATGTTTGGAAAACAACCGCAAACAATTCTTATAGACCAATGTGCATAAATGGCAAATGCAATAGGGAAAGTGTTCCCTGAAACAAAACATAGATTTTGTGTTTGGAATATTTACCAAAATGCTGCAAAGAGGTTGAGTCATGTAATTCATGGACCAGATCAGTTTGCCACAGACTTTGGAAAATGTGTATATGACCATGAGAATGAAGTAGAGTGGTTATCGGCATGGAGTGAAATGCTTGAAAAGCATGGATTAATAGAGAATAAATGGTTGAAGGATTTGTTTGAGTTGAGAGAAAAAATGGGCAAGGGTATATGGTCGCCAAATTTTTACAGCTGCAGATATGATGCGCACACAGCGGAGTGAAAGTATGAATAATATTTTGAAAAAATACTTGAAGCGCGGTTATAACTTGTTGTGCTTCTTTGAACACTATGAGAGAGTGTTGGATGATCAGCGATTTAAAGAATTAACTGCTGACTTTGACATGATGCATACCTCTCCGGTCTTATCGGCTCCTGCAGAAATATTACAACATGTAGTGGACGTGTATACACCAGAAGTCTTTACCTTGTTTCAGAAGGAATACACATCTATTGGTGATTATGTTGCCAAAAGGGTCAATAAGTCTGATATGATAAGTTCTGAGTACAATGTATCTTTTCGTGGTGTTGGGAGGAACCATTTGGTTAACTATGTTGCTGCAAACGAAACGATACATTGTAGTTGTATGAAGTTTTCCTTTGCTGGAATCTTATGTCGTCATGCGTTAAAAGCAATGTTTGAAACTACGCTAGGCGCTAGTCGGGCGGCAACTCCGGGCCTAGCGAGTTAATAAAAAAGCGGGGATTAATCGGGATATAATCGGGGATTAATTTTTATATTTTTTAATTACAAATATACGTATTATATATTAATACATGTGAAAGTTAGTTGTGAAGACAGCATAGTACAGCGGTTCACGGAGTCTCTGCCCCTGCATAGGTCTAAGGTTTGATTCTCTTGAGACACCATGTTTCTTTTCTTTTAATTAGCGCGAGTAAAAAACAATAAAAAATCAAAACCAATTTGCATTTGTCCCACATCGACTAAACATGAGAAAAAGGAGTCTTGGTAACTCCTATAAATACACAGAGAATGAATCCTTTCATTCCAGGCGAGTGGGCTTGTTATATGGCCCAAATATTTGCCAAAGAAGTCCAATATTGAATGGGTTTAAGTCGGTTTTAGGCGGAATTAATCGGTTTTAAAACGATTAGTCTGTTATTAAAATAATTAATCGGGTATCCGACTAATTAAACCGAATCGACCATAGTCGCGGCGGTTACCACCGTCGAACGCCTACTCGGCCGCCTAGGCGGTGCGGCGGCCGTGTTTTGGAACCTTGGTTAAAAGTATTGGCCAAGAAGGATGTTAGGAGAATTCCACCAACCTACATTCTTAATCGATGGAGTAAAGAAGTTAAAGTACGAACCATATCTTTTTATCATTCAGCCACACCTAGCGATACAGTGAATCAATCAATCGGAAAGCGATACAGTCATATATGTCATACTTTTCGAGAGATAGCATCTGTTGCTGCTGAACATATAGAACTGACGTTGTGTGCAGATGAAGCTGCCTTTCAGTTGTTTGACAAATTGAAGGAAAAGAAAAAGGAACTTGTGGAAGGTAATAAATGGATGCTCCCTACTTTAGATTTTAAACTAGTGGAAGAAGAAGAAGAAGTTCTAAATGAAAGTGGAATACAAAGAAAAAATCCTCCTGGACGACCAAAGAACCCAAAAGTCGGACGTCATGGTCGATATTTGAGTGTGCTTGAAATAAAAAATTGTGGTATATCAAAATCATCCAATAATGGTACAGCAAAAAAGAAGTTGTCGTTTCAGGTATTTGATATTTTTTTTTGTTTGTCCAATCTTCATCGAGTTTTAGGACTTAAAAAAAATATATATTTCAGGATTCAAGTCTTTTTAGGACTTAAAAAATATATATATTTCAGGATTCAAGTCTTCCTCCTGATACCCAATTATCGGTTTCTGCCACTAGTCCGACCTTATATAATGAACCTTCTTTTTCACAATTGCTACAGGTTAATACTTCATTCTTAGGCTATTTATATTTAAGTTATTTGTAATTTGTAATTATTTTATGTCTCATATTTTGTAGGGATTTGACAAGAATCATGGTGGATCATCGTAATACTTTATTATTTTAAATGTGAAAGCAGACATTAGTTATGTTTTTGTTTCCTTTCTTACTTCTGGCGTTTCTAACATATTTTTGTTTTTACGCTTATTATTATCTTCAAAAGCTCTAGGCCATATTCAGCTTTAATGTGTCTATTGAATCTTTAGCAAAGAACACATAATGTCCTAACATTTCGTACACTGCTGTATTCTTATATCTCGAAACAAAATAAACTAAACGTAAGAATTGAAAGATATACACTAGAGGTTCAGGTTGGAACATTTGCAGGTTTGTTGGAATAAAGATGTTTAAGTCTAGAAAAGCACACACAATGTATGTTTCTTGGTCGTTTTAAGTTCTGAAACATGTGATAAATCTGGTTCATCCCTGCATAATCAGCTTGCCATGGGTGTATTTACTACAAGAGAACAAAAAAAGGTTCAAGAAAATGAAATGTCTGACTGTTTTACAAGACATACTCATTGATAGATTGAAGAGTTGGAAAATGAGAAGAACTCAGGTAGTTTCTAAAGAGCATGATGAAATTCAAGTAATCCACACAAAAAAAAAAAAAACAAAAAACATGAACTCATTAAGACTTGCAGCAGAACTCAAGTAGTTATGTAATCATTTTGTGACTACTTCATGTTTTCCGTGTAGCTCAAGTCATTTTTTGACTTCTTCCTAGCTTATCAAAGATATAAACACAAGATAAACTAAAAAATAATGCATGATCCATGGAGGACGTGCGCGTCACTAACACTGACGTTGACTCTGCAACATAGCTAGCTCTCTGTTATGAACTTTTTTCCATTGCCTCATCATTACCAAATCATCATTAACGTTCTCTCCAACTTTAACAAACAAAAATAACCTAAATACATAACAATCTCTTTTATCTTTGGAGGTTTTGGCTAGTTCATATGATCCTTTGTGTAAAGTAACTAGTTTACTTTTTATGTTTCTTCTTAAAGTCCAAGATCGTGATGTCTATGTAACCTCGCAATGCAAGTCCCCTCTGCTTCTTCTTTAAAACCTTGCAAGTGTTCCTCTCAGGAAATTAGCATTTGTTTGGAGTATTAATCATATGGGCCTGACGGTTCAGAAAGCCCAAGTTAAAAGACTATTGCAGAGCCCATCAAGAAGTCTGCAATGGTCATCTCTGATACTCTCAACAAACGAAAAAATCAGTCAAGAAGGTGTACGAAGACAGCTCATGCGTTTGGGTTGAACAACAAATTCATTTTCTTAAGTGAGTGTGCTGTCACATACTGACAAGGCTAGGAGATAAGACCAATATTGTGTATAAAAGAACATGACGTTGTAATATTTTCATTAAGCAAAATAAATCAGAAAAGTTAAAGTTTTGTTTCATCTTTTGTTTCGGTTTGCTCTGTTCTTCATGGTATCAGAGCTTCAGTGGATCCTTGGGTGTTATGTCATTTTTTAAAGCTTCCGCTTAAGCTATTGATGTCACTCAAATGTTTAACCCTAAGGAGTGATTTACTCTCTCAAATAAGAGGTTCAATCGTAGTACTTAGGGATCGAATCCACAAGGAACTAGAGTCACAAAAGATATAATCCTAAGTGATTAAGCTAGGTTGAAAAGGTTTTAAAACAGTAAATAAAATAGATAGCAATGGTAAGTTGCTAAGGAAAATAGGTTTTGGGTTTGAAAACAATGAAAGAAAGTAGTTAGATTCAAGGTTACTATTTAGAAAATCAGGATTATAAATCTATGGATGTCTTAACGAATTGCTTGCAAATATATGAGAACTTCAACCCTTAGACAATTCTATAGCTGTCGCTATCAGACTCGTCCATTGATCTGATTTCCGACTGCATCGATCGATGTTGCTATCGCAGTATCGATCGATATGTGCTGCCGTCGATCGATGACTCTAGAGGAGTATCGATCGATATAAAGTATCAGATCGGATTGAAACTGTGTTCAC